GAGGTCAGGCGGGGCGGGCCGACACTGTGTATCCCAGAACGGGTGCTGAAGTGTCGGTGAGACCAGCAGAGAGGAGCGCGGAGGTGAAATAGTGAAGTTTAAGGATGCCTTCAGTATGTTGTTAATGTGATTTTATGGGCAATTTATCAGTCGAGGTCTCCTCCTCTGCAAAGCAAACTGACCCGGTGGCTACAGGTAATAGAGCATTTTTGAAACCACAGTTTTTCCGAGATGAAGGACTGATTGTTGAGCTGCTGTTAACAGTTAACGGAGTTAACGGATCCCGTTATTTAACCATTTCAACACTAAATTAAGCAGAGTGACGGACCCAAAGCCTTCAATCTGGCTAAAATACAGCTGAAATGCTAAAAAAAAATACAGTGGTGAAGTTGGGATTTGTTTCTTGAAGTTATGTGCTCATCGTCTTTTCTGTGTCTTGCAGGCTGCCAGGAGAAGCGGACTGGACTGGACAGTCAGCTATTTTTGAATGTTAGCACTGATTTCTCACATTGGATGGTGAAATATTTGTAGTTTGAAAGGTCCGACCTAAATGAATAAAGGTCGTAGTTAACGAAGCATATGAATATTAATGAAGGAACCCCTACTAAGCGCAGCTTATTTTATTGATCGTTTGAACGTCACGTGGTGGTCATTTTCGATTAAAGGCCAACGTCTCAGCGACGTCTTGGCAATGAGAAAACGCTCTCCCTGCTACGTCTTAACGATCTAAACTTGATACATCGGGCCGACGTAGGCCAGATGTATGTGTGCTATCTGGGTAGTGATTAAAGTTCAGACAGTCCAGTCAGACGTTACATATTTTACCATCATAAAGAACTGATCTGAAATTTAAAACATTCAGTCTCAACATGATGATGTTTCTCTGTTCTGTAGCTAGAGGTGTAACCTGCACAGGCTTTTGTTTTGTCATCCCAGAACTAGCCTACTTAATTTGCCAGCTGCTTATTGGCTGTCAGAGGGCAGTGATCTGACCGGTCTGTCTCTGATGTCCTCACTTTATGTCTAAAAAGAACTGAAACAACTAAAAAAAACTTTTAACACTTTCATCAGTGGGTTCTGACCGATGATGTCATCCTGCAGATCAATATCTACTGATGATGTCATCCTGCTGATCAATATCTACTGATGATGTCATCCTGCAGATCAATAACTGCTGATGATGTCATCCTGCAGATCAATATCTACTGATGATGTCATCCTGCTGATCAATAACTGCTGCTGATTGTGATGGAGTGGCTGAAGACGATGTTGCGGAAGTTTGTGGATGACACGGGCAAGGACTGGGATCGATGGCTGCCATTTCTGCTCTTCACTTACCGAGAGGTTCCCCAGGCCTCAACCGGTTTCTCCCCGTTTGAACTGCTCAATGGTTGGGATGTACAGGGGCCTTTGGACCTGCTCCGAAAGAGCTAGGAGGCGCCTGCTACTGCTCCAAGTGACAGAGGGGTGGTACAGTTTGTGCTGGAGATGAGGGACCAGCTGGCCAGGTACCAGGAGGAGGCAGCTGTTAACACTGCGAGAAGCCCAGAAAAGCCAGAAGGCCTGGTATGACCAACAGGCCCGGCACCGTGAGTTTCAGCCTGGCCAAAAGGTTCTGTTGCTTCTCCCTTCCTCCAACAGCAAGCTCTTGGCGAAATGGCAGGGGCCATACAGCATCACCCGGAAGATGGGCCCAGTTACCTATGAGGTCCATCATCCGGACAAGAAGAAAGCCAAACAGACCTACCATGTGAACCTTCTGAAAGAATGGAAGGAGCGTCCTCTCCAGGCTCCAGGAAGCACTTTGCTGGTGAGGGAGGTGGATATGGAGGATGAAGTGGAGACTGGACCCGAAGCTCTACCGATGGCTGGCACCCCTGCTCCTCCTTTGCTGACCCACCTTTCCCCAGGGCAGGCTGCACAGCTCCTCCAGGTCTTCAAGGAGGCCCCTTCCCTCTTTGCTGCTAGCCCAGGGAGAACCACTCTTGTTGAGCATGTCGTTCGCCTGAAGGATGGACGGCCCATCCGCCAACGGCCCTACCGTGTACCCCAACAGCTTGTGGAGAAGCTGCGGCAGGAAATGGAGGAGATGTTGAAGCTTGGAGTGATCGAGCCTTCCAACGCAGAGTGGTGCAGTCTGGTGGTCATCGTCTTCAAGAAAGATGGGTCCCTCTGGATATGCATAGACTTCAGGAAGCTCAACTCCATCTCTGAGTTTGAGGCCTACTCCATGCCAAGAATCGATGACTTGCTGGAGAGGATTGGAACCGCCAAGTACATCAACACCCTTGACCTGTGCAAGAGATACTGGCAGGTGCCTCTGGAGGAGTCGAGCCAACCATACACCACCTTCCAGACACCAGCAGGGCTGTTCCAGTTTACGGTGATGCCATTCGGTCTGCATGGGGCACCAGCCACCTTTCAGCGACTGATGGACAAAGTTCTCCAGGGTTGTGACCACTGCAGTGCCGCTTACCTTGATGACGTAGTGATCTTGAGCAACACCTGGGAGGAGCATGTCCGACATCTGTCACTGGTGCGGGGGAAGGTCCAAAAGGCGGGGCTGACCCTCAACCCTGCCAAGTGTGAGTAGGCACGGCAGGAGACACGGTACCTTGGCTATCAACTAGGGCGAGGGGAGGTGCGACCGCAGGTGGATAAGTTGGAAGCTATCCAAAACTGCCCTCGACCCCGCACCAAGAAGGAGGTACGGTCCTTCTTGGGTTTGGCAGGCTGGTATCGCCGGTTTGTGCCCCAGTTTGCAACCATTGCAGCTCCTCTCACAACACTGACCAGCAAGGACCAGAGGAACCTGGTGACCTGGTCAGATGACTGTGAAATAGCCTTCAACACATTGAAAGCCCACCTGTGTTCTTCCCCTGTCCTCAAAAGCCCAGACTTCAAACAAAGGTTCCTGGTACAGGTGGATGCATCCGCAGTTGGCCTTGGAGCAGTCCTGGCCCAAGGAGACCCTGGGCAGGAACGTCCAATCCTGTACCTGAGCCGCAAGCTGCAGCCACGTGAGACCAGGTATTCCACTGTGGAAAAAGAAGGTCTGGCCATTAAGTGGGCGCTGGAGAGTCTGCGGTACTATCTGCTTGGATGGGAGTTTGATCTGGAAACTGACCACTGGGCTCTCACCTGGATCAACTCCGTGAAGGATCACAACAGCCGCCTTACCCGGTGGTATCTCTCCCTCCAGCCTTTCAGGTTTGCCATCCATCACCGATCAGGCAAGGCCAATGTGGTGGCAGATTACCTTTCCAGGTTGCCGCACAGCGCCAACCTCCCGGAGGAGGGGGATGATGTGATGGCGCGGCCCCATCACTGACTACGGGCAGCACACACACGCACCTACACACGCACACACACACACACACACACACAATACCCACTCCCCCTCCGCTATCTTTCTGACTCATGAAATGACTCATGCATCTCTCCATTTTCCCTCTTTCCCTGCTGTTTAGTAGCGCAACCAAGGGTGCACACTTGGGTACACTACATTCCTCTTTCATGCATACATTTCTCAGTTTATGGACACTGACTTACCGGGTGACGGTGTGATGAGTGTTCGCCTCGTGTCTCCTGTTTAGTCTGTCAAACCGGGGCACACTGCTCTTCCGGTATAAATGTGTGAAGCGTCGCGCGTCTCCATGGTCACATGACCTGTCACGTGATTGACGTGACGGTAATTTTGCTAATTTATTAATTTTCTGCATATACATTGGTTTTTGGTGTTTAAAGGGACTATGTCTAAATATGTATATAATTTCTGTTTATGACGTTTGGGTATCCAGAATGAGTAACCCCTCATTTGAAGAAGGGTTGAATTTATTGGATTTTTTCCCATGTATTATTATGCCTGATGGGTGTGGCTTCAGGTTTAAAGGGAGCAGTTCAGCTCAGGTAAGGGGAGTCCTTGATCTGGTTGCAGAGAAGGCAACATCACTTGGATTTATTTGTGTATTGGACTATGAGGTTTTTCCCCTTTGCTGAGTTTTCCTGACTATTGAGGTTTGTTGAAGAACAGTTGTTTTTTTGTGTATTCAAACTTTTTTTTTGCATTTTTTTCCTGGTTGTTTTTTGTAAATAATTCACAATTTGCACCTTGGGAGGCCGGCAAAATAAAAAGCCAAAAACTTGATTTTTTCGACTCTGCCTGTATTTTTGGACTTTTTGAAAGTTGCCAATAGAACCCCACTACACTGATGTCATCCTGCTGATCAGTAACTACTGATGGTGTCATCCTGCTGATCAATAACTACTGATGATGTCATCCTGCTGATCAATATCTACTGATGATGTCATCCTGCTGATCAATAACTACTGATGATGTCATCCTGCTGATCAATATCTACTGGTGTCATCCTGCTGATCAATAACTGCTGATGATGTCATCCTGCAGATCAATAACAACTGATGTCATCCTGCTGATCAGTAACTACTGATCAATAACTACTGATGATGTCATCCTGCAGATCAATAACTGCTGATGATGTCATCCTGTTGATCAATAACAACTGATGTCATCCTGCAGATCAATAACAACTGATGATGTCATTCTGCAGATCAGTAACTACTGATGATGTATATTGTACATGTATATATTTAAGTAGCCTATATATTCCTGTATAGACTAGACTAGACTAGACTTACTTTGTACGGAAGTATATAGTATCTGTCTATATTTAAGTATATATTTCTGTCTATATTTAAGTATATATTTCTGTCTATATTTAAGTATATATTTCTGTCTATACTTAAGTATATAGTATCTGTCTATATTTAAGTATATAGTATCTGTATATATTTAAGTATATATTTCTGTATATATTTAAGCATATAGTATCTGTCTATATTTAAGTATATTTTTATGTATATATTGAAGTATATAGTATCTGTCTATATTTAAGTATATACAGTCAGGTCCATAAATATTTGGACATTGACACAATTTTCAGCATTCCAGCTCTGTACAACACCACAATGGATTTGAAATGAAACAATCAAGATGTGCTTTAAGTGCAGACTCTGAGCTTTGAGGGTATTTACATCCAAATCAGGTGAATGGTGTAGGAATTACAACACATTTTATATGTGCCTTCTACCTTTTTAAGGGACCAAAAGAAATTGGACAATTGGCTACTCAGCTGTTCCATGGCCAGGTGTGTGTTATTCCCTCGTTATTTCACTTACAAGGAGCAGATAAAAGGCCTAGAGTTCATTTCAAGTGTGGTATATTCATTTGGAATCTGGTGAGGTCATCTCTCAATATGAAGTCCAAAGAGCTGTCACTATCAGTGAAGCAAGCCATCATTAGGCTGAAAAATCAAAACAAACCCATCAGAGAGATAGCAAAAACATTAGGTGTGGCCAAATCAACTGTTTGGTACATTCTTAAAAAGAGAGAACGCACTGGTGAGCTCAGCAACACCAAAAGACCTGGAAGACCAC